GTGTGTGGAAGCATACTTCCATTCTCGAGACAATTTAGGTGCTGGGGAATCCTTTATATTAGCTATAGGTTGATTTTGACTTAGGTTTTTATTCTATCAATTTTCTTATTATCTAAATCTCTAATCCTAGGCAATTTCTGATCTTGCTCATCAAATGTGATATATACTGATTCTTCATGGTTAAATTCTTCTTATTAAATAATCTATAAGTCTTACTATAATTAGAGTAACCTAAAAAAACTCCATCCGATCTTACGTCAAACTTAATTAATCTTTTCTTTCCATTTTTTAATATAAAGCATTTACTCCTAAAAACATAAAAATGTGATGCTCTTGGCCTTTTCCTTTTCAATATCTCATTAGGGTATCTTATTAATGTTTGATCTAATACTTATCTTATTCATCAGATAACAAGCTATATTTTTTGTTTTAGCCTAGCACGTAACATTGTTCTTCCACATATGCAACAAAGTCTTATTCTTTCTTTTAACTACATCGTTCTGCTATGGTGTTTTAGGTGTAGAAAAACTATTCCTAATTCTAGCTTCATCATAAATTTTTTAAAAAGTTTTCATTCACAAACTCTCCCAACGGTCACTTCTAATGATACAATGGATAATGTTTTCTCTTTAAATTTATTTAATAAATTTATAAATTAAGAAATTGCCTCACTCTTTGCTAACTAAGAATACCATCCAAGTGAATATGGAATAATGAGCAACAATAACATACCCTTCTCCTCCTAGACTATTGAGTGTGACATGTCCAAATAGGTCAATATGTAACAACTTCAATGGTATAGAGGTTCGAATTTGATTTTTGGATCTAAAAGATGCTCTGGTCTATTTCCTAACTGATAGTGAACACACATTTGCTCCTTGGAGTAATCCTATAACCAACTCATGCTAGATAATTTTGGCAATATATACTAGCATGACAAAAAAGCCTATGCTAAAGACATGGCTCATGGTAATTTGATCTCAAACATTATTGTAAAAAAAAAAAACTTAATTCAGGCAAATATATATATTTTTTTATTTATGACTATGATAGGAAGTGTTTGTGGAAATTTAGAAAATGCTTTGGATGAAATCTGATTTCAGCAATTTTAGAAAACCAACAACAAGAAAAATAGGAATAAAATACACAAGAACACTTTTTTTTGAAAGTTTTATGAAAGAAAATACAAGATACATGTGGATCTTTAATTGGAGAGGAAGATCCAACTCTCCCAAATCTCTAGACGTTGGTAAGGCCCAAAACCTAAGAGAGATCTTAAGTTTCAGTCAAATTCAAGATGTCCTAACCCTAGCAAAACATACTACTTAATGCATAAAATTCAAAAGGAAATCTCTAAACAGCACATACTTTGAAATTTCGTTCCAAACTCCCTAAAAAATCCTTCCTAAATAGCTTTGTTGCCCCTGTGGTTCGAGCTGCAGGGACGGGAGGCGGGCTTTATTCCGCCTCGCTTAGAAACGGGCCAGTCCAATGTGGATCGGCTGGGCTGATCTAATGATCGGTCTAACAATACCTCCATCCTAAAGACCCACCTTGTCCTCAAGGTGGAAAGATGTCATGCTCCTTAGCTTCCTCGTCATCACAAACGGTGAGAAACTGAAGAGTTCGGTCCTTACATCTGTGTCCCGATGTATACCTCTTCTCACATCTAAAATAGAGCCCCTTCGTCCTCTTTCAAATTCAGCCTTTAATCACATTCCCACATTCTCCTTTCAAATTCAGCACTCCTTAGATCATAAAAAATCCATCCCCATTCAAATTTAGCCTCCCTTGGGTCATAATTACCCCTTTCCCTTTCAAATCCCACCCCTCTCCAAATCAGCACCTCTTCGTTCTTTCCCTACCTCCTCCCGACTCTCCCCCTATCCTCTGCCCGACTCCTCCCTAGGAATAGGTTGTAGGGGATGCATTTTTTCTGTTCCCTCCAAAATCTCCACCTCTTAATCTTCCATTCGTTTGATTAGCTTAGGGTTTTCCTCACTTCCTTGGCTGTCGGCACCTTTCCTCACCTTTGACGGTGATATTTTGGTTTGGCCGCAAAGCACTTTCTTCAATATCTCCTCTAGGATGGAAAATTCGAATTGATCTTACCATGAATGACTGAAATATCCTTTTTTTTAAAATCTAAAACTTGATCTTGGATATATGAAATTTTAGATTTCATTTGTCCTATCTCCCATTCTAATACTTCTACCTTTCTTCTCGCCACAAGTCCCGGATCTTTGTTAGGTTCGAAAATCAGGATTTTCACCCCAAAAACAACAAAATTCATGGTTGAAATAGAAGAACTGCTGCAGGAATTCTCCAAAAACAGCCCAACAATAGTCCAAAAACTGCTTTGATATCAATTTGATAGAAAATGCTTGTAGAAATTTAGCAAAAGCCTTGGCTGAAATCTGATTTCAGCAATTTCAGAAAACCAACATTAAGAAAACTAGGAATAGAACACAGAAGAACACTTTTTTTATTGAATGTTTTATGAAAAAAAAACACATAACATAAGTGGATCTTCAATTGGAGAGAAAGATTCGGCTCTCCCAAATCTCTAGACGCTGCTAGAGCCCAAAACCTAAGAGAGATCAAATTTCAGTCAAATTCAAGATTTCCTAACCCTCAAAACATACTACTTAATACATAAAATTCAAAAGGAAATATCTAAGCAGCTCATACTTCAAAATTTCCCTCCTAACTCCTTAAAAAATCCTTCCCAAACAGCTTTTTTGGCCATATGGTTCGAGCGGCATTGACGGGAGGCGGGCTCTGTTACGCCTTGCTTAGAAGTGGGCCATTCTAATGACCGGTCTAACATACTAATAAAGTAAATTTCACCTATTAATTTAATCAAACATTAAGTATAAGAGAATTTGATTAAGGGGCTGTTTGGTTGCTTGAAAAAAAAATGCAGCGTAAAGTAAATGCAATGTAAAATAATGCAATGCAAAGTAAATATTTTGAGATTGTTTGGTTGTTTGCAAAATAAATGCAGTAGAACTGTTTCCCTTTTTTGGTTAGGTAGATCCAGAGTAAAGTAAAAATGTTTTTTTTTTAATAATTATCATGGAAACTAATGCAACCATCTGTTAATATTTTCATGAAAACCTCGTACACCACCATTTTCAATTTTAAATATTTTATGCCATATTCATAAGACTCGAATTGAAGGCCTCTTTGGCTTTATTTGGGATAAAATATTACTTTCTAAAGCTTCTTTTTACAACAATTTTTTTTTTCAAAAAATCTTTATACTAAAAAACTGATTTATAAAGAAATACAAAAAATGTCCTAAACAAAACCTTAAAAAATTCTCAAACCTAAACAAATAAAACGCGAATGAGACTTCCAAGGAAAATTTAAGGGGTGGAAAAAAAAAACAAAAAGAGAACAAACAAAAACAGAGCAGAGCATAATCTTGCATATCCAAGTTTGAAAACAGTAGACAATTTCGAGCAGAAAAGTGTTAGCCCACACATATATACACATGTCATTTTCTAATTCTCTCTCTGCATTATTTAATTAGTTTAATCTCTATATATACATCAACTGTACATAAATCGAATTCATTCAATACAATTCATTTCTTCTCTCTGTTCTCTGTTCCTCTCCTCTGTTCCATTATCTTTCTAAAAGTTCATATCGTCTCTCAGAATGAGTTTTGGGTGGGGCAAAGCTGCGAAGCTTTTTAGTCCCGAGGGGATTCGCTGCCCCTCGGAGAGGCACGATCAGCTCCATCGTCATCCTCTAGGGCTCGGGCTCCGCCCATTAGACTCTGGGCTTCCGTTCTTCTCAGCAGCTGGGGATCTCTCCCTTTCTGAACTTGCAGGGCTCCTGCTAGTCTCTCTCATTGGGCTTTGACTGTAATACATAACACAAAATTTCCCTAGTGTTGGACACAAATTTTAAATAAATGTCTGAATCTATTCCTGGAGGCAGCTCGAGGAAATTATTTTGGGCCTAAACGCATCTGTAGACAGGACCAGCCGATGGCTTGCTTCCTACAGTCGGCATTGATTCTTCGACCTCAACTCTTTGCAAGAAATGCTGTAAATCAGCAGATTTAGGGGCAGTAAGGCTACAGGATTTACGCAGGAATTGAGCAGGATTTATCATAAACGCCCAACCTATATCTCACGGGGGAATAAATTAGCCTTTTAACCAGATCAAGTAGTTCGGCGGATTGACGGAATCTGCTCGAAGAACACGCGAAATGTAGAAAGTTACCTTAACATCTAGCGAGATCCCGTCCTTACTTCCTATCAAAATGTCGCAACTTCCGATCCGACAGGAAAAGGGAACGCCTCGAATAAGCCGAAGGAACGAAGTCGAACAAGAACGAAGGAGCCGAAGAAGCCGAAGTCGAACAAGAACGAAGGAGCCGAAGAAGCCACTCGTGGAATCTTACACCTCCTGCGAAGCAATGAAGCCGAACAGCAAGACGATGCGGAGGATTTCAGCCAGCGATTTTATAACCCGCTCAATATGAGCGGGTTTCTATTTTGCAAGAAACACCCCGCCTAATACACTCCTAAGGCCTCGAATGGTTTTCTTTTGTTCCGCTCAAAATTAACCAAACAACCTAATTTAATAAATACATGTATTTGTTTTACTTTACCCTCCTAATTCAGGCAACCAAATATCCCCCCTAAGTAGAAGAGAATTGAACCTCATGCTCATTATCGTATACCTAGTGATGCTGATTAGATTATGCTTTAAATCTAGTATCTTCTCAATGCCATGGGAACCATAGCCAATTCTGGTAACTTCAATTTTCTTCTTTTTGGTATTATATGTTAGTGATACGTATCCGCCATCCCTTTATATTTAAAAGCGAACATTGTGTGGCCTCCCATCATGTGTCTCATGCACCAGTTTTCCAAGTATCATTAGCCTTCATTGGTCCTAGAGATACCTACACAATATTTCAGCCCGTCAGCTTGGGAAACCAAATTGCTTTAGTTTAACTGAATGATTAATTTGTGTAGATGGGGATTCAATAACTTGTGCACATGTGAGCTTAGGGATCCAAACATACTGAGGTACTCTATTTACAATTTTGCTCTTACAGTTTTTAGAAATGCGTCATAAGGTACAAGAAGTTATACCTAGCATTTGTGTGCGCATAGGGTCTATCATGTGCAGCCCTTCTAGAATTAGATAAACTATGAGATGCATTCCTATTAAAAATTTCCAAATAATTTAAAAATTCAATTTTAGCATTTAAAATTGAATTTTCTTTAAGCAATATATCACATAAAGATGCCTTGTAAACGTTTATTTTCTTTTCTAGATCATTATAATTCATTTTAAAGTTCAATGTAATGTGAATCTAAATTTGTATGTTCTTTCTTTAAGGTACAATGTTTCTTTTTCAAATTGTTAAAACACCATTCATTTCAAGTAATGTAGCTTGCAAATCACCATAAGACTTGTCATTTATCTCATATGAAAATTCATTAATGGCCATGAGGCATGTATTTACTTCTTGATCAAATGTTTCTATTGGTGTTTTGTCACTGTTTGAGTCACTGTTTGAGTCTGCCTAAGTAACATTCAATGCCTTGTCGTTATGTGATGTATGTTTTTTTTGTTCTTCCACTTTTATTTATAGAACATTTTGCACTTGAAACATTTATTTATAGAACATTTTGCACTTGAAACATTTTTAATTTTCTCTTTTTACCTGCGGGGTCAAGTTTCAATTTATTTTGAAAAATTTTACCATATTTCTTACCCTTGTAGCAATTTTTTCTAAACATCATTCCAAGTTGTCCAATTAGTAATGCCATTTCATCATCATCACCCAAAATTTTTCTTTATCAAAAAGTAAGCATACAATGTTACTCTATTTTCTCCCACATACAAAAAATGTCAATTTTATTGTCATTAAATCTTATTTTAAATTTCGAGCTTTTTGATATATAAAAGTGAATCTAAAAGCCCAATAAACTATTGCCATTAAAAAGGTATTAATTAAATGGTACTGTAGCTGTTATTGCATATTACTGTAGCTAAATCAACCATTTAAATATTAATTAATGCATCCTGCTGTAGTCTCTCCACTTAGCCAAGCATGCATGGGGCTGATGGGGATCGTGCGGCTGAAATGGTTGTGGAATTTAGTGGAAAAAGCATCAAGATTATATATTATATATATATTTAGGTAATCAACCAAGCCTTACCATGTCATCCTTTTCCCCGTCAATTGTTCTCTGGCATTCGAAGCTGCTGTGTGCGGGCAAATTATTGGGTCAGGTGACCGAACGCAGAGATAGGTCCGGATATTAATAAAATATTATTTTAAAATTAGCGCAAGTAAAGCGCAACTAAAGCGCAAGTCAAAAAGCGCAACTAAAGCGCAGGTAAAGCGCAAGTCAAAAAGCGCAACTAAAGCGCAAGGTGACGCGGCAAATTTTTATTGGATGTCCGAACTTATTTTTCGCCTCCGGTCACCTGACCCAATAATTTGCCCTGTGTGCGAGCTGTGAAGTAGGAGGCATAGATAGGGCTGTGGGCTGCTGTTTGCTGGGGAGAAAATTCTGAAATCAGTAAGGTAAATTGAGGGAAGGAAAAGAAGTGAAAAGAGAGGGAGAAAGGAATAGGAAGTGAGGAACCTTGGGGTTGAATGCAGAGAAGTACAGTTGAGGTAAAATGTTAGAATTTTATTTTTCCGAGTTGATTTTTATTAGGATCCTTGTATAAATGTTACAATGTATGCTTTGCAATGTATTCTTTAGGTGGTATATAAGTGAAAAGAGGTAGGGGCATTTCAGATGAACAGATTCATAACGAGGTGCGATACCCAACCTATATTATAGAAAATTGGAGCATTTTTGTATATTTAGTATAAGTGTAATAAAAATTCTTTAACATTTAGCATATTGTATATTTTAGCATGTTGTATATTACTAGTGAAATGTGATTTAATTGTGATGTTTCAGAAAGATATTATAGATGAAGGATACGAACATATGCACATTTATGAAAAGTAAATGAAATGAGATAAGTCATAGATGGGGGATAAGCCCGCACAAGAAAAGATGAAATATTTGACAAGGTAAGTCTTAGGAAAGCTGTATAAAAAGTATCCTACGTTCTCTCAATTCTAAAAATTGAGAGTTCAGACCCTTTCTTTGATGAGAGAGCTGCCCTCTAATTCTAAAAAATGGGAATACGAACTGAACTTTGAATTACAAAGATATAAGTGTGCAAACCCTATAGTCAACGTATGACTTGCTAAAATATTGAACATTAATCAGAATAGGAAATGTGAAAAGTTAAATATACATTGATGTTTTGTACATGCCGATTATATACCCCAGATTGGTTTCAACTAACTACAAACATGTTTACTATACTTGCGTATTTCATTGAGAGTTCTAGCTCATTAGCAGTGTTTGTAATGAAGGAAGTTGTATAGACACTTTTGGGTATGTACATGTTATTTGAAAGTTTAGTCAATCTTTGTATTTTACTTGAGATATTTACTAGATGTGTTTAAATATGCTTTCAGTTATGAAATATTAATTCCAGTCTTTTAGTTTTGTAAAACTTGAAGTTTTGGAAGAGTTTGTATTGACCATTTCCTACCCACTTGATTCTTATAGAAGTATTTCAAGATGTGTTAATAAGAAATATGTTTCAGGATTCTCCTTCTCTGTTACACTCTAGGTTGACTGTAAGGATGGTCAAAATGGAATGTGACATAAGCCACTGTCACTTAGATCGACATTTTAGTGCTACATTCTTTGACTTCTTCCTCATATTTTTGTCTTCATCATTCCTCAAGCTAACCTTCTATACCTGTGCTATTAGAGAGCCATGCAAGTGGTGGTATATAAATTTAAATCTCTAGCTTCAGAAGTAGCTGTTAGCTTTAGATAAACTCTTTTGGCAATGAGCGTAGGATCTTGTTTTTCTATTCTTGGTTCGTGCGTGCATTGCCAAGTGCATTAAGATTGTAATTATCTTTATAAATCGTCCAACCATCTTTGCAATGGTTTCTTCATACTTCATTTTGACGAGCTTGTGTTCCTGCTTTAAGATGTTAAATTTTATTGCTCTTAGTTCATCAGTGCCCTTGTAGGTGATGATTAATTTGACCCATCTGCTTCCCTATTCTCAAATTACATATTTCATATAGCCATCATATTGTAAAGCACAACACAAAGTGTATTTATTCCATTACCATTTAGTAGTCCCAAATATAATTCCGTAGGAGTCCATTCTTAGGGCTTTGGAATTTCTTTAACATCAACTCTAGAAATAGAGAGACTTTTATAGCCTTTCAAAATAAAGTTCCCGAATCTCATGTTGCAGGATTGTAAAGAAATCATTATTCTACTTTTCTAGAATTCAAAAGGAATGCTATCAAATAAAGATGGCCATTTTTGTGGAGTGCCATTTATTTATTTTACCAGAAATCCTAAGGGATTTTTGGATGTGAAGCCAAAAATTGTCAAGCTTAGGCTTTGATACTAATTATTGTTTCATACATATCTAAGAGGGGGTAGGAGGGTGAATTTGGTTTTGAAATTAAAATTTTTTATATAACATGATGCAAAGTAGATTAATAAATGTTAAAGTGTGACTATAAATAAGAAGTGCAAAGATAAACGAGCATACAAACAACAATTTTTACATGATTTGGCTGTAGCACGTAGCATGTATCTACGTCTAGGTGCTCACCACATATAGTATTTTCTCAATAACCTTCCCTATTAAACCATTACTTCACACGTGGAGAAGGCTTTACTCCAATCACCTTTGACCTCCATTCCACCTTGTTCACAACAAAGGAACCTCCTCAAAAATATTCTCCTCCACAACATTTAAACAAATGGAAAGAAATTCCAAAAATAAATCACAAGAAAAAGTAATGGTTTCTTACACATCAATGAGCACATTGTGTGAAAAAGCGTAGTAAATCAATCACCATAGTACCAATGAATCTTTCATGAGCAAGAAAGCAAATATTTTTCTCCTTAGATCTCAAATCTCACTTTCATAGGAGAGAATGGGCTAATGGTTGGTTTTGTGAAAATAGAGCACTTAGTCTTTTGGATGCAATAATTAGAGGTTTAGAGCATCAGAGCAATAGCCTTTGACCCGGAGCTTAATTTAGTATTTATATTAGGTGCCTAAGATTTTAAATAAACTATTTAAATTAATACAACAACAACAACCTCAAGCCTTTATCCCACAACGTGGGGTCAGCTACATAAATTTTTTTCTCCATTGTGTCTTATTAAGAGTCAAATTCTCATTTATATCTAATAAAGAAAGGTCATTTATAATATTTTCTAACCAAAATTTTTAGGTCTATCTTTACCTTTCTTAACATAAGCCAAATCTAATACATCTACTCTTCTAACCAGTTCATTGAAAGGTTGAAGTCTTATATGACCAAACCATCTACGATGATTTTCTCTAATCTTATTTGCCATTGGAACTACTCCAACCTTTTCACGTATATGCTCATTTCACATTCTGTCTAAGAGTAAAGCCAGTCATCCATCTGAGCATCCTCATCTATGCAACACTTAACTTAATTTTATGCTTCTCTTTTAATTTCCAACATTCTGCGCCACAAAGAATGGCAGGTCTCACCACCATCTTATAGAATTTTCCCTTAAGTTTGAGGGGTACATGCCTATCAGTGATTACACAAAAGGCTTGAGGCATTCCTCCACTTCAACCATCCAACTTGAATTATATTAATAATATTCAATCTATTTCACCATAACTTTGAACAATAGACCCGAGGTATCTAAAATGTGTACTATTATTGATGACTTGATCGCCCAAAGTCAAAATCCTCCCACTAGATCTATGACTACTAAAATTACACTCCATGAATTCAGTTTTAGATCTACACAAATGAAAACCTTTAGACTCTAAGGTTGACAAAAAATATTTAAATTAATATAAATTAGACTTTCTCATGTTTATATAACTAGGTAATGTTAAAAAAATGCCTGCCTTTTACGGGCTCCGAAAATTCGCGCCTCGGCCTCTCCGCGGCCCCTTTCTTTCTTTTTTGGGTCGTCGAGGAGAGTTTTAACGTGTATGTTCCGAGGAAAATTTTCAAATGGCATATTGAGTTTTAAATAAGACACTACTCAGAGATTTCACCCTCATTTTACGAGGATATTATGATCTAAGTTCAAGTTTCCTATAGGTGTAAGCCTCTATAGTTAATTACCCCTCTCGATAACGAGAGAGAATTTTTTATTAAGGCTACTCGTTAAATAAATACATAGTATCTGTCATATAGTAGCAGTGTAGTTTTAAGTATTTGAGAATTTTAAAATTTAAAATTAGAAATTTAGTGCCTTGCACTTAAAGCAGATGGTGGGAATGATGATGAACCCGATCAAGATCCCATGGTTCTATCATCTTGGGTCATCATGATCCCTAGTTTGCTTAGTTAGAGGAGGTAGTCAACCTAACATGACCGAATGATCCTTTTCGGCAGCTTTGGGTTGCTTCGTCCAAGGGTACCTTGGAAACCTGGGGTGAATATTTGTCTAAGGGGGTAAATTTAAATTCACCTTAGTTGACATAGGGTTTTGTGTCCTATCGATCATATCCTATTGATTCATTACTCGATAATTTGAATCCATTGGGGAACATATGGACTTTGACCATGATCGTAATTTAATGGTGCCATTTAGTGGCAAAAACACCTAGTCAGAGGGTCTCGATCATAACCGTTTACCTGCAGTGCCATTTTGCGATGAAATCATTGATCAGAAGATGTGCCATATCCTTATTGGCAAGAGACAGATTGAGAATGAATCCTAGTGTTATTCTCGACCAAACATTCACTCTTTTTTGAGCTGAAGTGATTTTTAGATTTTACTACCTTGTCAAATTATAGTGGAGGATGGATGAGTTTGTGTGTGCTCCAAAAATTCACGTCCTAGCCTCTCCGAGGACCCCTTTGTTTCTTCTTATTGGGGTCATTGTGGAAAGTTTTAATGCTTAAGTTCCGAGACGAATGTTCAGAAGGTAGATATTTCCCTCATTTTTAAGGACTTTAAATTTTAGTTTAGGTTTCCTATAGGCGCAAGACCCTATAGTTAATTTCCTCTTCAGATAATGAGAGAGAACTTTTGATTAAGATTAGTCATCAAACAGATACGTAGAGGTACGTGGTATATGATGTATAGTAGTAGCATGGGTTTAGCTTTTTTTTTGAGACTTAATATTTAAAACTAGAAACTTCAACATCTTGCACATAAAGTGGATGGTGGGGGAATGGATGAACCCGATCAAGATCCCATGGTTATGTCGTCCAGGGGAACCTTATAGACCTGGGATGAATATTTGTATAAGGGGGCAAATTTGAATCCACCTTATCTAATATAGGGTTTTGTGCTTTATCAATTATATCTTATTGATTCATATCTCAAAGATTTGACGTCATTGGGGAGCATACAGGCTCTGACCGCAATCGTAATACTGTGGAGTCATTGGACCAAGTCACTAGGTCAGAGGGTCACAGTCATAATCGTTAACCACGTGGAGCCATTTGGCCAAATCAAAGGCTATTTGTGGATTCATCTGACCAAACCATTGATTATAGTACCAATGCCACGTCCTTACTGGTAATAGACATTGAGAATGATTCTTGATGATATTCACGACCGGACATTGGCTCTTTATGAGCTAAAGATATTTTTAAATTGTTTCACCTCGACAAATTATTGTGGAAGATGGATGGATTTTGCTTTAAGTATTTGATGAATTTTTAATTTTAAATATTTTAAATT